TTGGGCTAGCTTTGAGCTAAGCTCAAATTAATTGTTGTGTTTGGTCATAAATGATCTTATAAAGGATTTTCAACAAAAATTGGTTGCCAAATTGAGGTTTAAGACATTCAATTGTTGAGATTTGGGTGTTAGCCAATATTGGGGCTAATTTGGGGATTTTGTCAAAGATGGTCAAATTGACCAAATTGGACCATGGTTTAGTTGGACAAAATGAAATTGGGAATATTTTGGATGTATTGGGATTTTTTGGGAATTTTTAGAATTTTTGGATTTTTGGGCCATGGAGGGGCATTTTGGTAATTTGGCCATTTTTGGAATTTTTTGTCAGTTTTGGCAAATTTGGATGTATTCAAAGTGTTTGGAATAAGTTTTGATCAGTTTTGGGTATTTTGGCAAAATTTGGGAATTTTGGCCAAATTTGGGTCCCAAGGGCAGTTAGGTAATTTGGAGGTGCCTAGGGGCAAAAGACCCAAGATTAGTATTTCAAATAGAATTGGATAAATATCCATTCTAAATGAACTGTGGATCAATAAAATCCTCATTTTGGGTTCTTATGAATTGGTTTTAGCTAGAATAATGTGAGGATATTGTGTACCCTAACTTCAAACCAACACCCAGGGTCGATCCTAAGGCCAAGTAATCCTATAGGAACTCCTCTTGAGTTCTCTCATAATGATCTTACCTACTAAGTGCTAGAGGTTATGACCAATATGTGGAACTTCAAGTTGAGTAAAGAGAAGAGTTTTGAGTTTCTAATGGTGAGGGTACCTTTTCTAGTTTTCTAAGACTAGTCAGTAGGAAAGTCCTATAGCTAGACCTAGGCTACTAAAGAAATTTCTAGACCTCAACCAAAAGTGAGGTCAACACTAGGTCATAAGAAAATATCAATCATATTAATCACAATTTAGTCAAGGCAAATATTACTGTTCCTATGGATTCACATTTACATGTCACATATTTTTACTCAATTCTAATAACAAATTACTTTAATTGAAAACAAGGTAATTCACTCAACCACCTTACTTCACATAAAATCTCGATATTTAAGAGAAGTATAGGTGAGATATCTTACTTATGGATGAAGTAATTTATTTATAAGAAAGCAGAAAATGAGTGGTCAAACATGATATGAGAACTAAGGAACTAATTTGTAAATTTAAAGAGTTAAAAGATCTGCAGTACAGGGAGCTTGCACCAATTTTAGTGTCGATCTATTAGAAATGTGTAGCAACACCATTGAGATTGAGTAAAATAGTTTGGCTATTCCTTGAGATACAACTCCAATAAATTCCCCCTTTTCTATGTTCATCATTATGATGGATGCATCACTAAAACATACAAATAACCTTTTCACAGCCAAACTGATTGAGAAGACAATAAAGAAATCGATGAAACATAGCTTTGACATAAATATAACATTGAACATGAAATAGTCAGGCAGAGTTTAATGAAAAAAACTTCAGAAAATTGAGCTTGGAGGTGTATCTACTGCAATCTCATTGTAAGAAAATCTAGCTTCCTTCAAGTCCACACATCCCACGAGCGATGGCCCAATGTTCTGAAGTTTACAATGGGAGAGTGATAACTACGTAAACAAGATAAAAAATCATCAGCATTTACAAATTTATCCAAATACATGTGAATGTGAAAACTGCATGCTAGTGAAATAGTAGCAGGGAAAACACAGAATAAACTAAAATTCACTTACTTTTGTGATTGAGGTCATCTTCTTCAAAGAGTTGCCAATGACATAAATTGGGTTTCTAGAAAGAACTTCATAGCAGGAGCCAGAAAATAGATGCGTGAATAACTGACCAGCAATTTCTAACCAATATTTTACAGTGTGCAGCTTCTATTGGAAGAAAAATAAATTCAGCAAAGCTTACAGGAAAATTCACATGCATACCACACATTTTCTTTGTTTTTACTGAATTGCTATGCACAGTGCATCTATCATTATATTTAGGAAAATTTACATACATACCACACAATTCCTTTGTATTTAATTATTTAACACCTAAAGTTAGATATTTACATTTAAAGGACTTGGTGTCATAAACCTATGCATGAAAATGAGTATTATACTTTTAAAAAGTTAGTTGTAGTGGCATTTTTTATGTGATATTAAATATTGGAGTGTTATGTATGTAAATATGAAAGTTTAGGCATTAGATATTTAAACACAATAATTGTGATATGTGCTATGCAGACTGCATCTATCATTATATTTAGGAAAATTTACATACATACCACACAATTCCTTTGTATGTAATTATCAAACACCTAAAGTTAGATATTTACATTTAAAACACTTTGGTGTCATAAGCCTATGCATGAAAATGTGTATTATACTTTTAAAAACTTACTTGTAGTGGCACTTTTGATGTGATATTAAATATTAGAGTGTTATGTATGTAAATATGAAGGTTTAGGCATTAACTATTTAAACACATAAAAATTGTGGTGTGTATGTAAATGCCCATTATATTTATATTTATAAATATACAGGTGTGCAAAGAGAAAACAAATGGCATTGAGTTACACCAAAGCCAGTAGTTGTCAGAGAGAAAATCACTGTTGTAAAGATAATTCATGGCCTAATCATCTTCATGGCTCTAATTTCATTTCTTCTCTCACCACTCTATAGCTAGCACCACTCAGCCAATGGTTGCATGTTTTCTAGCAAGAGGACTCACAGAGTTTTCCCATTCAACTGATGTAATTAAGAAATAAATACATATAAAGCTCTAATAACATTATAGATAGCATGATTACATTCCCATAAGTTTAAGCTAACAAAGGTGGAGTTTCAATTCATCTACTAGAATAAGTGTCATCTCCTAAAAGTGTTATCATTTTTTAACAAAGAGGCATCTAAGTGGATGATTGAATTATTCCATACATAAAATCTCAGAAAATCCTTTGGAAACAAGGATTTGTATTACGGTTAAAAAAATAAAATGATTATAATTGATGAATGATCATATTACTTGTGGTTCTATTAACATAAGATTCCTTCTTGGAAAAACACTTATCAATAATTGATCTGATATATGTTAAATTTCTCATTGTTTTGTCCATTCAAAACAAAACCTTTCTTTGTATGTCGATAAGAAAAAATGTCTTTCTTTGAGAAAAAAAAAATCCAACTATCAAGTAAAGTTATATGACAACTTCATACCTAAAGATTCCCATTTAAGAAGTGATAAAACATATAACTTGTAAAATTACATAATTTTTTTCATTTCCCAATTTAATTTGATCCATTCATTCATAAAAATTATCATTTAGGAAAGAACTTATTTTTAGTTTTTTCATATATGAATGTACGTGGTTTAGAAGGGAACCCCTTAATGAATACAACAACAGCAACAACAACAAAGCCTTAATCCCTCGGCTACATGAATCCTTTTCTCCATTGCGTCTTATTTAGTGTCATATTTTCATTTAGTTCTAGTAAATTAAGATCATTTTTAAGTTGAGCCAAACTTCTTTACGCGCTTGGAAGAAGAAAACAAGATATATGCTCCTATTTGTCACATACTATACTTTATTTCGCATATCTTCCACATCCACACTATAATTTTATCACTGCAAGGAAAAATAACTTTAGCATTTGGCAAAATCAATTCACATTGCATGATTAGAATTTATGTAGGAGCAATGTTAGATTAGTACAGTAGGATTAATAACATAACTCAAGTATTTGAAAACTAAACTAAGAACGAACTCGGTATACTATAACATTGTCCTGTTTTAGATTCTCATTGATTCTCGTTAGTTTGACGTCCCGAACACTTTTAGAGCCCTATATTATTGAAACAATACATATACTTGCGTGAAAAACCCCAATGTGCAAGAATATCTAATTTCAAAAATTCAATTAAGTTGCTAGTGAGCAGATCAAGATTCTGATGCTATTATCAGGACTTACATAATTGTGATAATCGCTGGGGCGGATTAGTATTCATCATTTGCATGCTTAATGCTCTAAATATATTTTCAAGTCCTAAAGTGGACGATGTGCTTAATTTGGACACTTTGTTCTATGGTTTGCAAATACTAAGATAGTTTGGTTAAGGTCGATGGAACGATCCTTCTTAAACCTTCTTAAGTTCAATGTTTCAAAAATGGTATAGATATGTTTCATGTATGTACTAAGCACTATTGTTCAAGAACATGAGTTCCACATATTTGAATTTAATGTATATTATGTTCATTTAGAGCACATTATATTCACACAGAAATCAAGCATTTTGATATACTTGCACTTGAATCAAGTTCTTAAATGTGCAATCAACAATGAAATCAAATTGTCTTTTATATGAAAAAAATATTGAGGATGGATAAAAATCATTTGACAAATAAAATACCTTATAGTCTTCATGTAATTGAACTATATAGCTAGTACATAACAAAATCCACTCCTAAGCCAATTTGATGGGCTACTTCATCTATCAAGACCTAGCAATTTAGCTTTGAAGTGAATATGACCTCGTATGCTGGAGGAGTGTCTTTCTTAAAGATTGTTAATGCATATAGGACATTGTTCAATTTTATCAACGACCCATTTCTAATGCTTATGATCACATTTTATGTTTATTATAGATTAGTGTGTTTTTTTTCAAGCCTTCCATTGGCAAATTGCATTCTTTCAAAAGACAAGTACTAGACTAGTCTCTAGGTGATCCTTTCAAGAGCATGTTTGATTTTTCCCCCTGTAAAGGCAATTTCTTTGAAAGTAAATTATACGTATGAAATTTACACTCACATCAATAAGCATGACGTTTTTCTCAAAATCAAAGAGTTATGCCATCAGAAGTTGAGTTTCATACTTGTTCTGTTAAAGCATAATTTATGACAAGCTTTCATATGTAGTACAGCCCCTTTAACTAGTTTTATTATTGAGCTTTATTATGTTGAATTTGTATTGGATGCTATTAAATTGTACTAGTTCAGTGATCAAGATTTTTATCTTTCATTTAGTTGGTGGACTTTAAAATATATTAAATTGTGAATTTAGTACATCTGATCAAGTAATATGATGTTTATGTTTATATTATTGATGTACAATGATATATTTATGATTGTGAATTAGAAACTTATCCATTCTATAAGGATGCTACAGGAGTATTCCAACCAACTTCAGTCATTTGTGAAAATGGCATTTATTTACCATTTACAGTTAAAAAAAAAATCAGAACGACCGAATGGAGACACCAAAGAAGGGACACGCAGTCAGACAACTTACATCTAAGAAATAAGTAAAATGGGGGGAAAAAATAAACAGCACATGTGCAAATAATGATGTAGCCTACAAAGCTAGGCAGAAGTTTTATTATATGAACAGATCTCATTCTTCCAAATAATATATTTACTTTTGAATTTAATGATCTAGGATGTGAACATATCTCATTCAGCCCCTTCCTTCGAGAATAATTTTGAATCAAGGTACACCACAATAAAAATATTTACTTTTCATACAACTGCAAAAGTTTGATAAAAGATTGGCAAGCTCATGAACTTATAAAAATTACAGAGATAGATCAACCACTGAACAACTTTATCCAAAGCATTTTTCTCAAAATAGAGTGAGAATTCAAACATACCAAGGGTATTCAAATATTTCATCTGATCAAGCTTGCAAATGGAAGAAATGTTATTATCTGCAAAGAAATAATAGAATCAAGCAGTAAAAAAACAAATTGCCTAACCTCCTTTTTCAGTTTTCTATAACTTTCAAATCTCCAAATAGACTCTTCATAATCACATACCATTTAAAATTAAAGCCCGCAAATTTGAAAGGACGCAGATCTCATCCATTTTCTCAAGTTTATTCCTGCCAGCATTCAATACCTGTTCAAAAAGATAGTGAAATTACAAATTCTAAAAGAAGACATAGAAAAGCTATAATTGAGATTTAAATGAGATTATTTTCTTCAAAATGGTAGCATGAGATTAGCACAGGACCGCGCCCTCCCCACCACGTTGAAATTAGAGAAGATCAGTAAATTCAATAACAGGGAAGAATACAGAAATTATAGCAGGTATAAATTCTTAAAATGGAACTGGAGATCACTTTCAACAATGGGGAACTAATAGAACTTGTGTCATCACGTTTAACGGAAAAAAAAATTTGATAGAAAGACTATGCATTATCATATCAGCTAAATAAGCTAATCAAGGCTCAAATCATTAGAGATTCCTTTCTTTTAGGGTAACAACAATGATGGAGAAGTGGCTAGTATATCATTGAAACTTGAAAAAAAAATTATATGATTACGGTTAGGAAGTTATTTGTATGGTGTTGAGCGTTGATAACTAAATTGAACATGTTGGAAATGAAAATGACCATATTAATGAGTGGAAAAGTTATATTATAGGGAGAACAGGAATAGCATTTAGTGAAAATAAAATAGTTGAAAATAGATATATGGTTTGGATGAGTAAATGAAGGGTAGAAAATGCAAGCATGAGACAAGCAAATAACACAAGTATCAAACATAGAAAAGGATGAAATTTGCTCAAAAACATTTCGAGAATGTGTTTTAAACCGCTTGCAAAAAACAATGGTAATGAAGGGAAAACGAGGATTCATAGAGCAAATCCCAAGAGGATGGGATAAAGTTCATGGAAGCAAAAATAATTTAGTTTCGGTTCAGAATTTTACAGAGTTTCTGATCCTATATTGGGCATCTTCAAAAGTGGGCCAAACAAATAAGAAATTATGACAAAATAAACTAATTGAAATTGCAAAAGAGATTGGATGCACTGAATACATGACCACTCACCATTAGCTTGGAGAGGCCTTCAATGCCTTTCAACGTAACAAGTTTGTTTTCCAAAACTTGCAGCCACTTCAAATTGGCACAAGCAGACAAACCCTGAGGTTATTAACAACAAGTACGTGTAAATGACAACTATTCCAGTAAAACTTGCAAAATATGGGGTCATTTAAGACCAAACTGGGAGCTTTATATTAATCATAATAATTTCGGATGGACGAAGAACAAAAATTCATATTTTTAGCTCAATAGAACTTTGCCTAACGAGTAAGAGTTGATATTAATAAAAAATAACCTCAAATAACAGGAATAGTGAACGTACCTCTAGAGATGTGAGGCAATTGTAGCTTAGGTCAAGTCTCTCCAAGTTCTGGAAATTGCTCAAACAGTATACCTTCACAGGTAAAGCAAAACCGAACGATAAGCATCAAGCAACAAAAAAAAATCAAAAAAATTAGGCTGGCCAATTGTGAGGCCCTCCCGGGAGCGAAAAACAGGGAACTTGCATCGGAGAGAGCTCGATGAGATAGCTGAAGCGATGTTACAGAGCTCGCTTCGCAATTCTGCTTCTCCCGTAAGGTCTGCTCCATGCTAAGCCGAGTCATGGGCGCCAAAACCGATGTCCTCGGTTGCCCTGATGATTGTAACGCAAACGAACAACGTAGACGAACAGCAGCGTCTCACAACCCTAGCACACAATCCTTAGTTATTAACAATTTACATTTCTCACACCTAAATTTCCATATTTACACATTGTACACTCGATTAAGAATTTATTTGGGGCAGCTGCAATTTATGGAATAATCTGCTGATAAGTTGATTAAAAATAATCTGTTGAAAAGCTAGGTGCAGTAGCTATTATAATTATTATTATTTTTTTTTTTTAAATGTCAAATCGTAGCCAGAAAGCTGTCAGATAGGTGCGGTATGAAAACACTATTTTCATCATTTTGAAAACGCATAAGCTGTCAAAACGCAATTAACCCAAATATGACATGTGTGTTTTCAAAACACCACCGCACCAAATAACGGACCCTAAGTATTATGAAACTTGTTGACAACTTAATTATGATTTAATTTTGTTAGATTCAATCTAATTTATTACATATTTTTAATTATATAAATATTAGTTCAAATTTTAATTTAATTAATATTTAATTTCAACTTTAATAGACCAAATACTCATTAATTATTGTGAAATAATTATAATTAGCATAATATGTATAATTTAATTTAAAAGAATGTGTAAATATAGTTTATACTGATATATTATGCTATATTGCTCCATCGAAATGCCCCAAATTTTTATTATGGAACTTAGTTTTTTTTTTTTTAATAAATGCTAAAATGTATTAATTATAAGAAAATTAGCATATTTTTTTTAATTATGTGTTTATAATTAAACTTTCATCATAATCTTATAAACATATTCATAAACAAAAATATGTACTTCTCTCAACCTAACCTATAAAAGATGGTAATATAATTGAAAAAATAATGTGCAAAAAACTAGCACTGAATTTTTTATATACATGTCATCTTTCTTATGCATGAAAATGTGAATCTCTCATAAAAGGTTAAAGTGGTGATGTTCTCAGGTGATATTTTGTAGCATATTTATAATAGGATTTAAAGATGAATTTAGCTTAAATCCAGTCAAGCACGAAAAAAAACGAAAATTAAATCCAATGTTTTGTTAAAATAAATTTTCCCAAGTTCCGTTCCGTCATTTTTTCCCTGTTTTTCGTCTTTTATTCCCTAATGTAAATTTAGATTACTAAATTTGAGTGAGAGGCGGATTTGTTTCATCGTTGCTCTCGAACTTTACCGTTAAAAATAAATCCAGGTTTATCAGATTTGATAAATCCTACTAAGGCGTGTTTGGTTGCAAGTAGGGCTTAGTAAGTCTGATAAACCTCTATTTATCAAAGCCAAATATTGTTAAATCTGAAATAATGTTTGGTTTAATTAAGTTATATTTATTTGATATGTTTGATGTGAATCCCTTTGAAGCATTTTCTTTTATTTGGTAGCATACTTATTATCACATTTAGTCATGAATTTAACTTAAATTCAGTTAAAACGCCAAAAAATTGAAAAATAAATCCAACAAACCGTTGAATCGAATTTCATGGCGCTCGGTCACTTTTTTCTCATGTTCCATCACTCGTTCGACATAAATTGAGATTTAGTAAATCCGATCATGGGACGTAATTATCCCATCGTCGCGCAAGCTCCACCCATTGTTTGCGCAATCCCAATTAAAATTCATTCAATCCAACTAACAATTGAATTTAATAAATGTAAACTTGAGTCACAGAATTAACAGAATAATCACATTTAATTTAACAACAAATTTAAGAAATATAGAAATGGCTTTTGGCTGATTTTTGTTTAAATCATTAATTAAATCCATTAATAATAGCCCACCACAGACGTTTGCAGCCAAACGATGTCATAATGCGATATGAAAATTAGGGTGATATCTTGGTATGTAAATCATAAGAGTTTGAGCGGACTCAGGTTTAGTTCGCTGTCGGTTCCTTAAAAAATATCACTGTTCATGTTTGACTCGTTTATATATTAAGCTCAAAAAATTTATTTGTTTGTCTCGTTTGTTTAACAAATCAGACATGAGCTGTTTGAGAACAAAGATTCATTTTAACAGCCCAGTGACACAACCGTAAAATGTTTATGATAGAGTTGAGATATAAATCTTATTATATTTATTAAAATACTAATTTAAAAAGAATTTAATATATATTTATTATATTTTAAATATTAATAGTTTTAATTGATTATAAATCTTTGATTTGTAATGAATTTAATTATTAAAAAAAAAACTCGTAAATTATATAATTTAATTATTTTGAGGAAAAACGTGTTCGTTTGTGTTCAATTCATTTATATATTGAGTGCGGATAATTTGTTCGTATTCGGCTAGTTTGTTTAGCGAACGAATCAAACATAAGTGAGTTGTTTTTATCAGAACAGCCAAGACGACTTGTTATTCATGAATAGCTCGTGTTCGATTCAATCGCTAAGCAAACGATTCGATCATGAACAATTTTTGTTATGCTCTATGTATAAATTAGTCGTGCATGAACAAAAATTTGTTCGTTCGTGTTTAGCTCAATTTAGCTCGAAATAATGTAATTATATACATAATGAGTATTATTTTTAAATGGTTTATTTGACTACAATGTTACAAAGATTTATAATCAATTTAAATTACTAATTTAAAATAGATTAAAAAAATATTAAATTATATTTAATCAAATATTTTAGTATAAATAATAAATTTAAATATCACCCTACTCTTAACATCTTACGACTGTTTGACTATGGTTGTTAAAATGACTCATTGTTCGTGAATAATTTGTGTTTGGTTCGATAAACAAATGAGTTAAACGCGAATAAATTTTTGTGCTCAATGTATAAACAAGTCAAACATAAACAATGATATTTTTCAACAAGCTGAACTTGAGTCTAGCATGAGCTCGCTCAATCCGTTCACATCCTTAACGGTTGCATAATTAGTATTGTCAAAACGTCTTTTTGTTATCGTACCATTAGTGTTTGGCTTGCTATGTAAACGAGCTAACACAAATAAATTTTTGAAGTTCGAAATATAAACAACCTGAACACAAAAAGTGGTAGTGCACTTTTGACAACCCTAATTGCTATCAATGTAAAATGTAAAATTTAGTTATTAGTCATGCGAATACATAGCAACTGCAACTGTGTGGTATGGATGTAAATTTGTAAATGCTCACAGAAAGCTGAGCGGTTAGGGTTTTTCGTCAACTAGCATAAGGAGTTACCAACTAACCTTTCAGGCCGCGTTCGCCGACTTGTTTGTGGGCTGAGACTGGAGTTTCCTTCTGCCGCCGACAAGCGACCATTTCAAATCCTCCCCCTTCCATCCACCGAAAATGGTAAGAGTCGCGGCTCGCCTTCATATCCCGCTGTATGTTAGTTCCCTTCAAATTATTATTCGAACTTGATCTGCTTTCATGGCAAAGTCAATAAATCTCACGCGTACTTAAACTTTTAATTTTTTATTATTTTTGATGTTTTGTAGTCTGGAAAGAAGAAGAATAGGGAGCCCAAAGAGGAAACTGTGACCCTGGGACCGAAAGTACGCGATGGTGAGATCGTGTTTGGTGTTGCTCACATCTTTGCATCGTTCAACGACACCTTTATTGTAAGTTTAGTTTTTCGCTCAATGCTGGTTTTTCATGTCAAGGAATACTGATAATCGGTTGTTATTCTGGTTTGCAGCATGTTACTGACTTGTCCGGGAGAGAAACGCTTGTGCGCGTCACTGGTAGCTTTTACTGCATCTTCGCTTGGCTTTTGCCCAATTTTCACATTATCGACGCTACCAGATGTTTGTTTTTAATTAGAAAATATTTAGGGTTTTAGCGATTTCATTGTTTTTTTTTTATATAGTCTGATTCTTGTCGATGAGTTGCTAACCAATTTGTTACTTCATAAGTTTGAAATATTGCACTATAAGCATATGCCCGATAACATATTCTGATTGATGGATTTGAACCAATTCTTGAGCATGGGTTTTTGATAGTATTGGTACTTTGTATGAAATCATCATGAGAATGCCACATTTGTACAGAATAGAAGATGAAAGGGCATGTTTAGGCAAAGAGATCTTTTTATTATGGTAAATTTCTGAAAAATTCATAGTTTACATCGGTTCCAATGCATCGCTCAACCTTTATCTATGTGGAAGCAGGTAAAGTGGCTTAGCATGGACCTTAAGATCACCTTCCTTTGTCCATGTGGAAGGATTTGCATTATAAGCTTTAGTTACCAAAGTTCATTCTTTGCCTTTTTTTTTCTTCCATTCTCCATTCATCAGGCCGTTTGTGTTGCTAGTTGATTCTTCTAAAACGAGAATTCTAATTATGGTCATTACATGCTGCTCATAATTAGTGGTTCCTTTGGAGCATCTCTCGCTGAAAATTGCATTGAAATTCTCTTTAGTTGTGACAGTGGAAGTGTTGTGGGAGTTGAGATTCCTTGGAATAGTTCTATTGGTTTTTGTGTTCACGCAATCGCAGGACGAGTTAAGCATGAGCCCTGTCCAGTAATTCTTGCCATACAGGATTTTGTCTTTCTATTACCAAATTCAGCTGGTTTTTCTTACCTTTCTGCCTTATTTTGTTTCCTTTTTATTTTAATTGGGCTTATTTTAATTATTAGTATAAATATGATACATGGAATCTAGTTTAGCAAACTTTTGCTATTATGCTTGTGTTTTAGAGACTTAATTTTTTTTTCTAATGCTCTTGGTAGTGTTGTATCATTTTCTTTTGCAAGTGGTGTGTTCATATATTGCTCAGGAACAGGTGGTGGATCTCCCAATCGCTAAACATACCTCGCTGTATGCTTTTTAAAAGCTATTTTCAATCCAAAGAGCCCCCCAAATTTGCTGCCACCTGCTTTCCAACAACCGTTTTCACCGCCGAGCATATCATAAACCATTCCAAACATTTTCTGCCGCCCATACTATCATGTCCTTGTATTTACACGATGACATCCCCACAAACCCTTCGTTAAACACCTTCTAGGAGGCCTAGTATGGTATTATTTGTTATGAAAGTCTGAAAAACTCTAAATTTATAAGGATTTGTTCTTCTTACACCTAAAACAAGAATCCATATAACATAACCTTATACCCCCCCCCCCCCCACAAAAAAAAAAAAAAAAAAACC